TACACTGTTCTGTTGTGAATTGTAGATGTTGAAAACGAATTCAGTTGAGAATAAACCGGCACAAGTGCATCAAACCTCAACAGATCGTAGGAACGGGAGCTAGAACCGTACTGAGGCTGGTCATCCGTCGAACCTCGTCGATGTCGGAGTATTTACCGCCAATACACGGGAAAGGGTGACCCACCTCGAGGAATAACGAGTCTTTACGTTCCCACTGCTTAAGGTATGAGTAACTTAAGACCAGGCTCGCCAAGCCAGTTATACACGGCGATTAGTGACCGTTTGTCGATGATTATTCAGAAATCGTGAGATGCGGTCTGGTGCGATGTTGGTTTCAGAAAAACAATTTCTTTATCGTCGTGCCAACGTTTCGATCTTTATTCAGATCATCTTCAGGGCCTGAGATTTACAAACATTGTTTAAATTTAACAGATACATGTAGGATGTGGAAAATACACGATAAAGAAAATGTTTTTTCTGAAACCTACATCACACCAGACCGCATCTCACGATTTCTGAATAATCAGTAATACACGGCATTGAAAAATTCAGTCTTGAAAATGAAAAAGTTTTGCTTTATGGCCCCGCCTCAGAATTATTAACCGTGTCGAACAAGGAAAATGTGGTAGTAAGGGCAAGAAACAGTTCACGAAGCGTAATAAGAACCAGTGAGAGCTACGGTTAATTGTATATTCAGCATGCAAGCTCCGACGCGCCTGAGAATGGGGCAACGAGTTCAAACACACGAAAAACCACCCGACAAGGTCCTAACGGATTTAACGCATTTAATTAAGCTTTTTCAGAGTGGATGGTTTAAGAGATCTTCAGATAAGACTAATTTCGCGCTATTGAAATCCGTACAAGTTTTTAAGTAATCTTTTTTATAACATACCAGTTGTAAAACTGATAAAATGCTATTATTCGTTTATTATTGCTGACAAATCTCGTATTATTCTTATTTTACATTTTGACCACTAAGCGAAACCGTCAATTTTAACCGGCCGAACAGCAAATATTTTCACAATATTGATAGTTTTGCATTAAAAAATTGTTGATGCTGTCAGTGTTCTAAAGGTGCCGAACATCTCTTTCAAGAAAACGATATTTTTATCAAGTTTTATTGTGTTTTTACACCTCAGTATTTCTTTCTGACAAGAACATAATGATAAAGCCAAACGCATATTGTCTGTTGTTGAAAAATTTACACACGAACACTAGATCTAGATTTGACTTTGAAGAGGAAAGCAAATTTAGTTACTGCCCAGCTATCGACCAATTTTAAGGTCATCATTGGGGCAAAACAATCTTCAATATGTCTACAGTTTGACATATTTACGTTTTTTTACAGGCGAGCTCAAATTTCCTTTTTTAGGAGGATTTTAACTGTTGCTTTTTGTCTTTTCTTTTTTTTCGATACCAGGGACTGGAGGAGTTCCCTCCTGAGCACTGCAGCTGAGCTATACAGCTTATTGTACTTTATCCCTGGCTCAATATTTTTTTTTTTTTGGGGGGGGGGCTCGCAACACAAATGTAAACTTGAGCCCCCGTTGTTCCCCGGTGTTCTTCCATCGAAGAAACTCTTTTTTGAAGGGGGTTGGGACCAAATTCAGGGTCGCTGAGATCCCCGTCCATTGATTAGTGCCGTGTCAATTCTTTCAATTGCGGCCACCGATCCCCTTCGGCGTCAGAAAAAGTCCAGAGGCGACGGTGGGGATCGAACCCACGACCGCGGGATCTACTAGCCGAGAGTCTGACGCCTTAACCACTCGGCTACCGCGGCCCCCAACTGTGGCCTTAAATTAGGTCGAAAGCTGGTCAGTAACAACTGAATTTGCTTTCTTCTGCAAGACCTTACTTTCATCAAGAGTGTTCTTGAGTGAAAAAGTGGGCGATATTTCTAATACTGAAAAACTAAAAATTTACACTCTGGACAATCAGTTCTCGATTGGTGCCTAATCACACGTGCATAAATTAGTATGAACTTTGAAGATAGACATTATTCCTATGCAGTTGTATTTATCCAAATCGAACAAAAACTGTTGTAATTTTGATTTATCTGCTGGCGCCAATAAGGCCTTTATCCACACAGTATGCGAAAGAAATTTCTTTTGAAATGTAAAAGAGATCTCAAAATTGTTGAGAATTTAAGGTTTGCAGTATCAGACGAATTAGGTTTGCTTATCCAAGCCGTCTGCTTATCGAAGCTAAGACAGGCCTTCACTGATTATGGCTTGAAAGCGTATGTGACATCATATCAGCAAGTTTGTACAGACACAAATAATCGGAAAGACCAAACTATACGCTTATTACTTGGCATATCCCAAAAGATAATCACACAATATTGACAATTTTTAGGTGGGCTATCTTGATCATCTAATGCACAACGGAAGTGGTTCAACTCCGTAAATGAACTGAAAATGAAATTGTTTGAAATCTCTTGCGAAAAGAATCATGCAAGTAGATGAGAAGAAGGGGTGATAAATACGTACTCCCTAACCATCCTAAATAATATTAATTGAATATTTTGCATGCTAGATTATTTTTGCAAAGACAATTTTTGTTGTGGCCTATAATTTTCGGAAGTGTTTGTATCCAAAGGTTTTGATGAATTCGATATATTAAAAAACTTTTGAACGATGGACTGAATTTCCATTTTTAACGGTGTATTTAATTGTCCCGCCAGTTGATAAACAAGAAATGAACTGAAAAAAAAAAGAATTCTCCTAAAAGTGGGCTAAAAAAGCGATATAAAAATGCTTCGTTAATTCACTTCACCCCAATTAACGCGCCAACAAACGCTTCTTTGGTTTTTCGGATTTAACCGGAGAAATAAAGGACTTGTGAAAAAATAGAAAGGTGGATGTGATAATAGTTTTAAATATATGAACAAAGAGCGGCAATCCCCCTAATTGCATAGGCGTTTATTGTATCAACCCAATTTAATACTGACAATTTCACTTTAACAAAACTAAAGCTGCAGGAGAACTAATTAATCAAACGTTTAAGCCATTTTTTAAATTTAGAAATTGAGGAGAAATATGCAGATCAGTTATACAAACTCATTTTTTAAATTCCATTTTGGATCACCTTAACCAATTAATTTTTATTTCTCAACTCATTCTGTTGATTATAGATCATTCCATATGAAAATATAAAAATAATGGTTGTTAAAATTAAAAATAAAAATAAAAAACGAATTTAATAGAGTACTCTTACTGCTGTATACAGATTGTGGCAAGGGTTGGTGGCGAAAATAACGACCTATCCAAATATCATCAATTTTCCAGATTCAGATTCATACAATAGCTTTGCATAAGAAATACTCAAAAATACTAGAAGTTGCACAGATATACATATTCTCAGACATTGCTTTCCCTTATACTTGGTCGTTCTTAAAAGGACAATGAGGATCTTTAACGTCCGCACCTAGCCTTTTGGCCTTATCGGACGTTTTGATTCTCAAGATGAGAGATGACGCACCTCCACGACCGAATTTGTGTTACTGCCACATGCGTTGATGTAGAAGCCGTCCCAGCCACGAGGGGCCAAGACGAACCTCACTCCCCGCTTGCCCATTCCGAGTGGTCGGGATCGCATTAAGCATCGAACCGCATGCCGCGCGCAAAGGGCTACCTAAGCCAAAATATCATCCTGGTCTCCCGCGCACTCCCTAGATAGAGAAGGCCACTCTATCTCCCGGAGTATTGGGGCTTCCCGAGCGCAGAAACTACCGGATCCTCTCCGGCCGTGGTTTTGTTGAATTGCTAACCACCCCCTAGAGGAGACTGCCTACGGTAAAACCTACAATCGAGCTCAGCCTACACCTGGTGCAAAGCATACTCGAACAGGAGCAACCGATTCACTACCCATTTCCATCTGTCACTACTCACGCATTCGAAGGCCTCTGTCAGCGTAATCATAGCGTTCTCAACGCTTATACGCTTCTGTCCGATCCGCCGTATCCCGTGAGGCCGGGTGTATAACGATGGTCATATGCAAGTTTCGTGCGAAAGACACATATAGAAGACAGCCTCTTCTCTAAGTTCCCGCCAGGGGCGTCACCACGAACCACTACGAGTCCATCCCCAGTGTAACAGGGGTTGAACCTTGGAACATTTCTGTTACCCCGTAGTACAGATGGTTATGCACTCTCCCCCGTCTATGCAGACAGGATCTGGTACCCTAACCCTCGTGTGCCTCTGATAAGGCCGACCCAAGGTCGACACGAGTACAGCTTTCGCTTTAGAGAGGTTGCCACGCCATCAGGGCTGCACCATTATTTTGCGCCCGGACACTCCCCTTGTAACCAAGGGTTGGGAGGGGTCACAGGGAAGAATGAAGGAACCTGGATTGAGAGAGGGACGTGGATGAGGACACGAGGTACAGCTTTCTTGGGCACCGAGCCTTAATCACATTGTACCACCCGTCGTCGTTGTAGTTCCACATTAAGTGTGCTACAACTCCATGGGTGGATGATATTCTCAGACAGCCAGGCAGCACAGAATGCCTTTGTTCTTACCCCACAACTTTCAGCTCAAAGCTGGTCTGGAAATGCCTAAAACTTTTCAAATAGGCACACCACATAGTATGGTATAGGCAGAACTGAACGATAAAAAAAATGACTACATACTGAACGAATTCAGCACGTGGAAATCAATCAAATACGTTTCTAAACATCCCAAAGAAAAGTCTACTTCTCTCATGAGGCAGAATTTGGGAAAATAATATGCCACTATATTGGGCATTGCCCACCTAATTACCGCTTTAAAAATGTCAAACTAAAAAATAAAAATAATGAGAAAAGGGAAATAACGGAACCCTGGAGCACCACCTGGATATTTAGAGTATGATCTATTTCTGTGTTATATCAATTAAGTCGCAGTGGAAATAGAACACTGTGGATTGACATTAATAAACTTATTTTCTTTGAGAAAAATGTGTATATTTTGATTTGTATAAAGTCGGCGTTCATTTCGTGACGACCTGTGTGGATGAGAAATATGACTGGTAATTTGCAAATTTCATAAAGTTGGGAAGGAAAATGGTGAAATAAGATGACGTTATTTTCAAATACCCTCATGATAATTGATAATCAACAGATCATTACGCTTGCTAAGGCAAATTGTATTTTTCTCCAAGATAGGTGCATCTAAACTTTTGGTTTAATATTTGACAGATTCATAGTTTTAAAATACACGCAATACCCAATGGTCAGACAAAACCAGGGGATTAGGATGATATTTGGCCACTCCCCGTCCAAAATATCTAATTTTCTTATACCTGAACAGTTTTAACAGGCTGCTTTAGATTTTTCGTGTTTAAAATTAAGCCGATTAATTTTTCCGTTTCAATCCAGTCATTTCTGTCATTTACTTTAGTCTGTTTTCAAAATCGTATTAGAAATAATTCATTATAAATGGATTTAGATCGTAGGACCGGGTTCGGGGTTAAACGGCCGCCCAACCCCTTCCCAGGGTTAAAATCCACCTCGGGAGTTTCCGCCTAATCCAAATCCCCTGAGGATTAAACCTTAGTGAAAATGGCTTTTATCCTCTTCGGTCATGGAACGGGCTGGGATAACGAATGATTACCAAAGAAGGAAAACAACCGGTTTATGTTTTGAAGTTCTCTGTTCGCATATTTTATTTAAAATGATTTCAGACTTTTAACTTTTTACAATCGACCATATTGCTGTCTGACAAAATTACATTTTTTTAAGCAAACTTTCTTACTCTATTTTTCAGTTTATGGAATGGCAATATCTTAAAAGTTAATCGATACGAACAAATTTAAAGTTTCACATTACCTATCGATCGGAACCCCAACGTAAATCTATATCTGCGTATATGAGATAGTGAGTGGGTAGAAAAAACTGACTGATTAACGAATTGTTTATTGAATCGGTCAACATATGACCTTACGGATTACTCTTACATCTAAAGTGCAAAAAGAGAAAAGTGGAAGAAGTGAAGAAGAGTGAGTGAGAGAGAATGATAGGGATGGTGAGTAAGTAGATATAGATAGATAGATAGATAGATAGATAGGTAGATAGATAGAGAGAGAGCAGACAGAGATAAAGAAACAGAGTTAAAAGGAGCGAGAGAGAAATGTAGAAATAAATGAATGGGAGATGGTAACATTTTCTCGGGTTTTATTTTTTAATTTCTTTATATTATAGTTGTTAGCTATGTGGTTATGGACCTCCTCAAAATCGATTTCTCATTTAAATGAAACAATGACAGAAATTGTTCACTAGCGACAATAATTGATTTAAGAAAAGTTAAAGTACAAAAGTACAAACATAAATGTCATACATTTATGGTGAATAACGGGATTTTTTTTTATTCTTTCGAATCACAATTCTTCGGATTGGTAAACATTGTCCACGATTTTCAGTTTGTCATTTCCAAGTTGGGATGTTTCAAATAGGAAAAAGAGTGTCACGATTCGTGAAAAATATTCGTACTGGGACGTCCGTTTCGGGATAAGTGCCTTATGTTTTCTCACCGCTCTTTCCAGGGTGTACATGTCAATTTATGCTTGGCCGAGTGTAAATATTTATCCATTAGACTCACTCCGGCCTTCTCTTGGTTTGTCTTGCCCTGGAAGGGGGACTTGTCAAAGTTTTGCCCCTTGCCCCCCCCTCCGTCCTATAATTACAGCTGGATCGACAAGCAAATCGAAGAGAGAAATGGCTAACTTAAATAAACCTCTTAAAATATCGTGGATATACAATACGCGCAGTTGTAAATAAAAGAAAATTGCCAGTGTAGTTGTGAGTCTTATGTACCAAATATGTAATTCACAGCATGTTCAGTATTCTAAGATTTACGTTACAAATAAAAAACCCTTTAATTTCGAAAGCTCACCACTCTTTCACTGTGCTCTTTAAAGAACATTAAAGACAAGATGGCATCTGTTACACAGCATACCCTTGTTTCTTTTCAGCTCTTATTTACTGATTACTGATTTATACAAGCTTAAATCTGCACACGCATGTACATAGATATACGCTTGTATAAAGTTGAGCATATCCCTTCTTGAAGTCCACCGCCAATTCCAGGTACCAATAAATTACCGGTAGACCTCGTCAATCACACACCCCGGTTGTTGGTAGTTCGGGGTCAGACCTACGTCTGAGTGGTGGTACTCTTAACACAACACACAAGAATGGCACATCGGGAAAACATTTTGAGCCCTGAATCTGATCTCAATAAAGATCGCAACTTAGGCACGATAAAGAAAATGTTTTTCTAAAAATCTACGTCACACCAGACCACATCACACGATCTCCGAATAATAATCGACTAACGGTCACTAATCACCACACATTTCTACGAGTTATCCTTCAATCCACCGAAGTTGGGTTAGGGGTGCTGTTAACAGCTAAATCAATTCACCACCAAATGCATGCATTTCCTTCACTCCCACGCATTCTTAAATAGATTCTCTCCTATTTACATACCATTAACTCAATTAACATGATATTCCTCCACCAACCTCTGCACGTATATATAACTAGCCTAATTGACGGTCGATGGTGTACTCAATATTCCGCCGAATTTACAGAGTTGTAAATTCACGCTAATAAGTACATTCACTTTCAACACACGCTAGGTTCACAAAACTATCAGTACTATGTGTACAATAAAAAAATCTTTTTCCTTCAAGAATCGGAACAAGGGGACCCAGACTCTATGCCGTGCTCGAGCACGATTCTCATATCGGGTGGCTTACCTACACGCCCTCTATATACTTTTAGCAACCTTTCTCGGCATCCCGGACACATGCGGGCTTTGGCCCGAAAGTAAGTGTCCATGTGACCACCTCGCATGGCCTATTCTTAATCTTGTGAGGCCCATTATTACGAGTCAGATCCTCCGAGGCCACACTATGGACAATGCTCTTGGCACTTGGGAATTTCTCTACCGATGCAGCCTAACCTAATCTTTATACATATATATTATATACATATATTTTAATAATAATAATAATAATATACTTTAACTTATTTTTCCTTTTGCACAAAAATCAGAAAAATAATACAAAAGTACAGTACGCAGTGGATAACAATCAACCTTGTTCGTCTTATTACTATTAATAATCTTCTTATAATTATTAATCTGTCTTGATTACTATATATGTCTTTTCACCAGTTTTCAATTTGGCACTTCGTAACATTCGTTTCTGCCTTTTTCAGGGGAAGAGGACGAAAAGCTCAGGGCGGAATGCACGCTCGCTGGAGTCCAGCTGACACCGAAGGGGAGGGTCGTCTTAAGCCAAAGGCCGCACCCTTTGCATTACCACCAGTTATCCGATACGCATCTCGAAAAAGTAAGTTTCACAACAGATTGACAGAATCTCGACCACTTCGTTCATAGAGTTTAGGTTAAAGCGGATAGGTTCAACTGATATTTCAAGTGTACTGGATTCATATTTCGAAAACATGAATTACTGGGTCCGTCGTCTGTAGTCGCTGGTTTACGTTTCACTCAAATACGTTTCGGCTTCACACCATCTTCAGTGAGGAATGTACCGAGAATAGACGGTCAAGCGATACTTCCGATCAGTTCAGCGTGTGTTCATACAGTCACAAATCAACAAACCCCACCAAGATGTTCACTTCAAATGGACTAGGAGAAATAAAGTTCTACCAAAGAATACATAATGTTAGGTTTGGCCTCTATCGAAAATAATTACATTGTTTATAGTACAGACCAAAATAGAGATCATCATTTTCGTATGCGTTTATATACTGGTTTTCAAGTTAGGAAGTGTCCTCCCTCATACTCACGAGCATACTGAAGTCTTTCTTATTGGATCACTGGTTTAATGTGAGAATCGGCTCTGATTTTCACGCAAAAAACCATTCAGAGTAGGCGCCAAGGAATATCATAGGACCTCTTAGACACTGCTGACATACCCTCGCATTCTAACGCACAAATATAACCTACGCAAGCAACAACGCTCAGACCCTACCATAGCAGCAGAAGCAACCGAAAAGATTTATACTTCATTACCAACTGGCGCAATCTCTGGCAGATAACGTTATGGTATGGTATGGTATGGTAATAAGGATACTATGAAGAGGGTTTGTACTCCCCAGGCACTGCTGCCCTTCTGGCTTATTGTACCTTCCTAGTTCCTTAGGTCAGTGCAATAGACTCTACTCTTCTCCTTAGAAGTATCAGGTCATTGACTGTCGCTGCTACAATTGCATTCCTAAAGTTTTTCCTATGTTAGGTTGAATTTACATTGAGTTGTTGCTTCGCAGTCGAAGATGATATGGGTGGCTGTTTCCTCCTCTTCATTATATAATCTCCAGATGGGATCTTCGTTGTATAGCCCATGCTGTATAGATGTTTTCTCTAATGCCAGTGACCGGTTAGTAGTCCTATCCCTCCTCTGAGTTTAGCCCTTTCCAGTTGCAGTAGTGATTTTGCCAGTCTTGGTGAGGGTTGTTTCATCATAAGTTTACTATGTCTAGGACCGCTAGAGTTTATCCACTTCTCCTTTTGTTTTGTTTGGATCGATTCTGCGATGGAGGATTCTAGGATTTGTTTTTGTTATGCCAAGTATAGGTTCCGGGCCTTTGTATGGACTTGCAGATCCTCCTCTGGCCAGTCTGTCTGCCTTCTCGTTACCCAAAATTCCTCTGTGCCCTGGCACCCAAGAAATCACAGGTTGTTGTATTTCCTCAGGTTTTGGAGATTTTAGATGCATTCACTGACTGATTTTGATGTAATTCTTTCACATGCTAATGGTTTACTGGCTGCTTGGCTATCAGATCTTATAAGGATTTTTTTTGTCAGCATAAAGTCTTTTAAGATTTTCCAGGGCACACACATTGATGGCATTCTGCTTGAGTTTGATTGCTCATGTTTTGTGCTTGCCCGATCCGGTTCCTTCGTTTGTTTTGGAGCCATCTGTATACCATATCATTGTGTCTGATGCTTTCTTATGTTCTTCCTCTCCTTTATAGTCCGTTGAGACTTTGTAGGATGTTGTGAATTGTTTCTGGGCAATTACCTTAAACGAACAAAAAAGTCGTCATGCTCATTCGTGAGACCTGCTTTCCAGTACACATAAAAACAATGTTATCCCTCCATTCAATCAAGTCCGCCAACTTGGGATTTCTTGGATAGCAGACTTACATGCTTAATTGAAAAGGAATGTGCACTAAGCAAACATTATAATTTAATCTAACAATACACTAATTAAACGGGTTATGGGCGGATTTGAATTTTGGGGCTTTGGCAAATCCTGCAACATCCAACGAAACAATCCTTTCAACCTAAAGTCCTGCTCTGCATACTCAACACTCTCTTTTATGTCACCAATCTAATACTTCAAGATGGCCTAGTCCATCAGATTCATGGCGGATATGATACCCATGCTCCTTCCTTAATTGACCTAGGCCCTTTATAAAATAATAACTTAAAATCCTTTACGCCGACTGTAATTGCGACGACCTGACATTCTTTCCTGACCCTATTCCAACCCCAACTACTTAAACTCCAACCTTACTCAATAGTTGTAGGATTTTCGAGTGGCCTATGTTATTGCACTTATGGTTCCAGCTGCCTTCACTAATTAATCTGTAGCAGCTGATTAGTGCTCTGACCTTAGTCTCTATGTGTATTGGTTATAATCTCGTGCTAGGGTGGGTGTAATTGAAAATGCTCCTGTCATCATCAAACAGCCTAGTCTTTGAAATGACCTTAATTTGTTAATATTCCCTTTATTTTCTAGACCTTTCCTTTTTTTATTGAAATAACAGACAATACTCCTTGCTACAATACTTTAATTTCAGATGTGGATCTATTCCCTCGGTGTAACCGTTCGCGGTGTCGTCAGTTGGACGGAGGCCTCTCCAGGGCTTCGGACAATCCTTTCAAGAATGCTTTCACCCGATCTTCACTCACGAGCTTCACTTATGGATCTCCTAGACGTAAGTACTACTGAGGAATCTTTGTTTTTCAAAACGTATTGTTGGCATGTCTATTACAGATGTGTATGTTGAACTAATAGTAAAGATTATAGTAGGTACATTTATGGTTAATATTTATGGATAATTAACCATACATTTATGGATAATAAAAGGCGAATGTTAATTTAAAAAAAATATAATTTAATACGATTTAACAATAACTGTTTCTATATCCAAACTTTATTATGTTTAGTTTCTATTTCGTTTATTATGCTTGTGATGGACATACCTTATCAATATTTTTATCCAAAAAACGTAATTCCTTAAAAATAATTTTGTAATTACCGTTTCATTTATTTTGAGAACTATTACAAATTTTTTAGTGTTCTACAAAAATAGAATTGCCAAGGCATTATATGAAATTATTATTTACCTCATAATTCTTTCCATTTTTATGAACGTATATTATATTTAGGAGCAATAAAAAATTAAAATAGTTAAAACAAGTTTATTTTAATTTGATTTACATTAAAAATTATAAAAATTTTACATTAAAAATTTTAGTGTTCAACAACAATAGAATTGCCAAGGCATATGAAATTATTATTTACCTCATAATTTTTTCCATTTTTATGAACGTATATTATATGTTGGAGCAATAATTTTTTTTAACGGCTTTATGTTGTTTGCATATTAACATAAAGTTAACGACCCCCGGGAATTTTCCTTTCCACCCGGCGTGGCCTCGCCCTCCGCAGTTATAACAGTTTCTCGGAGTTTCCCACGAGACTGCTCCGACCGGGAACAGATGATCATCTTCATGGTCCGTCTTGCGTTTCACCGCCTGTTCTATTACATTGGCTTGTTTTTCGGCTTCAGCCATACTACTAGGAGGGCGGCTTTGCATCTAGTATCCCGTTTCTCCTCGGAGTCCATTTATAAAAGCCGAGAGCACAACCTGCTCTATCTGGGCATCAGTCCAAGTCGCCGTTGCATCACCCTCGTGCCGATAATATGCACGGTTCGCCAGTGTCCGACAGCGATCAGCAAAATCACGCGCACTCTCATTGGGAGCCTGCACGGCCGCGTGTAGAGATCGCGCGTGAAAATCCGCACCCAGCGGGTCACGGAACCGGGAGATTAACGCCTCCTTGAGGTCCTGAAAGGTCCGTATTTGCGGTTTCGATTGAAGGAAGGTGGAAGCTGGCCCCGTCAGCTTCCCTTCCGCTACTAGTAGTACATCTGCGTCAGACCACCCGCCGGCCTTGGCTGCCTTCTCCAGGTTACGCAAAAAGGTATCCACGGGCGGCGAACTAGGGTCGCCTGACCATGCCTTCACCAACTGTTGAAGGCTGATGTCTCTTTTCTTAGGGGCGGAAATCCCTCCCGTACTGGCGTCGGTTTTAATTTCCTCCAGTTCCTTCGTTAACCTTTTAATATTCCCTTGTTGCTCTTGCTCTCGCCTTTTCAAGGCTTCATACGCCTCCTTGGCCTCTATTAGCTGCGCCTCCATAGCCGTATCACTCCCTTTAATTCACACCTCCGATGTTACAATTTAGTGGTACATGGAGTAATCCTTTCCCAACGCTCTTACCAGCGAGTACTCAGTCCAGGGGGTATAGATAAAGTAGGTAGTGTTCAATATCTTCTTTCTTCATCTTTCTCTCTCTCTTTTTTTTAAAATTTTTTTTAAATTATTATTTTTTTAATTAATTAATTTAGTTTTGTATTTATTTATTTTTTATTTATTTTACACGTACCCTGTACAGCTAGCTCGGGAGACCCAAAACCACAATATTTTCGAATTTAGACTGAATTCGGCTTCTTTCGAGGGATACAGAGCGAGCGCCGTTGAAGGCCGTGTTTAAGTCAAAACGATGCGGACCCCACACCTGACACCAGATGTTATGCCCCCCCCCTTACCAGTTAGGATATTAGGAAATAATTCAAAAGTCCATAACATACGCTTAAGTTTTAATATTAAAGTTCTACGCTAATTTCCGTTACAGCTAAACAGTTACTATACGGAACATTCCCGAATTCCTTACGCTAGATTTAGGGGAACCGTCGAGCCAGATTATTTCAAAATTTAATAAAATGAGCTCTTACCTAGGGCCAGCACAGAGAACAAGGTCCTCCACATTCTTCAATCGGTTTCACTTTTTCCACTGGTCTTGCTTTGCACTCGGTCAGTTTTTCCCTGAACTCTCTCTATCTCTATCCTGGCCCCGAGCAGGCCAGACGCACAGTCATCACTTCCATTGTTTCCCCGGCTCGACGTTTCCCTTTTAATTATTCAACTAACTATTAACTACATATTTAATACTACTTATTTCACTGCACTACATTAGGCAAAGACAATGTATTGTATGCGTATTCGATTTTGGGGGGAAGGGTATCGTGAAAAAAAGACCAGAGGCGACGGCGGGAATCGAAGCCACGACCGCGAGGTCTACGAGCCGAGAGTCTCTCACGCTAACCACTCGGCTACCGCGGCCCCCAATAAAAAAAAAAAATAAAATAAAAAAAAATAAAAAAAAAATTGATTTACATTAAAAAATTTAGTGTTCAACAACAATAGAATTGCCAAGGCAATATATGAAATTATTAATTACCTCATAATTCTGTCCATTTTTATGAACGTATATTATATTTAGGAGCAATAAAAAATTAAAATTGTTAAAAACAAGTATATTTTAATTATTTAATTTACATTGCATTGCACAAGTTGTTTAACATAAAACATGTTTTTTTTCTTGACTAACCATATTAGTATATATTAATATTTATGAAAGTGAAATAATTAAACTACTAAGTGTTATTTTTCGAGGGTCGTTTTTAATTTTGCTGTTTTCTTAAAGACTAAAATGTTTTAAAAAAATCTCATTTAGTATGAAGTAGGGTGCCATTTTCAAATGATTTCAACCGATCGCACAGATTTCGAACTGGCAAGGCGTCGCCCATTTGACAACATAATACATTAACTTTTTGCATATACAAGAACTGACGGATGTTACGTGCATTGATAATGTTATTTTCCGTAACTGTCCGAACCTTTTCCCACACGACGATTTTTTTCTCTTCCAAATCATTTATTTCCATATCCAATCGGTTCAGCTCTAGTTCCGCAGGGTAATGAACATACATGGAACAGTTGTGAACTCTATTATCACAATTTCCCGCCAATATTATGAATTCTTCGAATGCTGACAATCGAGATTCAATAGATAAAAGAGTATCGTCTACATACTTGAATAAATTCCAGACTGGCTGATGCGATAATTTGAAAATTAATCTATAATCATTTTTTGACATTTTAGCAGAATACTTTTCGTAACATTCATCGTTTGTTATAAAGTTGAAATTATTGTCAATTTGTTGTACGGTGTCGTTATAGCTCGGCAACATTTTTCCCAGAATGGAACTGACCGATTCGTTCAGGGTCTTCCAATGATATTTTGTTTGGCGAAAAATAATCTTTATCTCTTTCCATTTAGAGATGAGAGATGGATTTTTTTCTAATGTTGATTTAGTAATGTTTATGTCTGCGCTTGGTGGTAGTGCGTGATACTCGGTTACTGTCTCAAACTGAAAAAAAAAAAAAAATAATAATAAAGAATAGTTTTAGTTGTGTTTTAGTAGACTATCAAGGCTATGTTGAGTTTGAGCCAAAAATTTCAGTAAAACACTAGGTATAAATAAAAAGAGAGAGAATACTGGCTGTGTTAAATGATTAGCGCGCCAGTCCCACATGGAATTCTAGAATACTGGCCAAACACCTGGGATAACAATACAAAGAACAAGTTTACGAAATTGTAAAATTTGTTTAAATATAAGAAGACTGAACAACAAATAAGTAATGCACACTTGTCCAACTTCAGCAATGGAAATGGCACTGAGTTCGCCACCGTTGCCTATAAACGAAGACGGACAAAAGTGTTAACAGACTTTTAACAAAATTAAATAAAACCTGATAAATTTATGAAAAATACTGAATGAAATTGAAATCGAAAATGTTGATAGATCCTACCAAATGATGATGTTTGGTTGTATAAAAATGTTTCAACGCACATTAGATAACATAGATTCTCCTGATTAGCAACTGCTCAAGACGCTCTTCTTTTATTTCTATTTTTTGACAAATTTCTTTAAGGGGCCACAATTAATTTCTACTGCTATGCTAGTCAGACGGATCCAAATTAGGGCCGGGCGTTAGAAGCCCGAATTGTGGCGGAGCAAAACTTCTGGACCCCACACCATCAGTTTTCCAAGACTCGATCCATGCAATAGTATTCTCTGCACGAAATCAGGTAACTCTGATGCAGGTCCAGCAGTTCACGAGGGGGCTGAAGAACCTTTGGACCCGAACCGCACATCTGCACACACTAAAGCCGGGAACACACTTACCCGATGCGACGCTACCCGACGTCTTGCCATGTTTTGGTAGGGTGTGCACGTCTATGCGAAGTCAAGCGCCGTCACATAGTCACACAACGTGTATCACAAATCAATATCACAATCGCAACACCTCTTTTGTTCTTAATGTACTATTTTGAGCAAAACCTTGTAATAAATTGTTAGTTAAATTTTATGAGCACAACCATGTAATAAATTGTTAGTTAAATTTTATGAGCACAACCATGTAATAAATTGTTAGTTAAATTTTATGAGCACAACCATGTAATAAATTGTTTATTAAACTTAATTGTTTTAAATAAAGTATTCCGGTGTTTTGATAAATTTTCTGCCTAACTATCATAATTAAATAATTTTTATAAAAACGTATAAATTTTTGATCTCGTTTAATTTGGTTTACATTAAAATAGGAATTAATATAATGACAAAATTACCTATACTTAGTTTGAAATAAACTACAAAAAATATAAGTGTCTTGTTCTGAAGCTACTCGACGAAAATGGTGTAATTTTATGAGAAAAGTCATGAAATAAATTGTTAGTTACATTTTATGGGTCAAACCGTGTAATAAATTTTTAGTTAAATTCATTATAACAAAAAATGGTATTCCGGTGTTTTGGTCAATTTTCTACCAAACCATTAAAATTAATGAAAAATAACGAATGAATTTTTGTTCTCTGTTAATTTGGTTTATTTTAAAATAAGTATGTTGTAATTAATATAACGACAATAATACACATAGTTTGAAATAAAAATATGAGTGTTCGGTTCTTTTGTCTTCGACTGTACTCGATGCGACCCGTTGATAATCTGGACAGTGGGGTCGCATGCGTAGAGTAGGGTAGCGTAGCATAGCAAAGGTCAGATGTGCACGGGGGTAATACAATCTTATAGAAAAATAGACTGGATTTGCGTCGGTAGCCTCGAATGGCGTTGCATCGGGTGTGTTCCCGGCTTAAAGTACGCTAAAACCGGAACTTCTCTGATGGAGAAACGAATTCACTTGTCGAAAAAACCAAATTGGTTCGTTAACATCTCAACCAGGAAAAGAAACATATACCAATCTCTCTGTAGACAAAAAAATGTTAAAAGTGAACAAGAAACCTGCCACCCTGCCATGAAAAAGCAGAAAGATCGTAGCCCTATGTGACTGCAAAGCATTAGCCCGGAAATAGTACTGCCTCATCCTAAAGGTGATATTAACAAATTCAAATTCAGTAAAAAAATTGCCTTCTTTTGTTTAATTTTAAAATTCATATTTTTTAGATTTTCAATTTTCTTGGATTTACACTCCATATTTTACCCTGAAGAAGGTTTGTTTTGACTGATATCTACCATCTCAACTTAACAAAACAAAAGTTTGCAAGTACAGGTAAATAGAAGAAAAATTAAAGATCAAAAATTAACTGTAAAAGAAAATTCAAGCATTTTCCCTAACATGATCGGTTTGTAAAACACCACGATAACAATTTTAATTTGTCTTAATCAGAAAATCGTACAATTATTCGAGAATTATTAAATTGTATAATAATTTTTGTGAATTAAAATTTACAATTTCATGATTAGCTCTGGTTACATAAATAATATATCGGGAATCTATTTTCAGTGTGTTTTCATTTATTAAAAATAATTTATCAGGAAAATTTAAAATGAAACAAGATAGATTTAACTTTAAAAGTATTCATTAACATAAACTAACATATTTTTTATGTATTAATTGTGATATACATGTAAGAGGGCTTACCGCTATTAATATAAAAACCAAGCGTGAGAGCGACATCTAGGCAAAACTAGTATTATACTAACGTCGTATACTTTGTATTATTTCACTTTTAAGAAATTTGACCGATCGTCTCTTGGCAAGAGAACTCAGGCAAGTGGGGAAACAGAAATCTCGAGGCATTTTATTCCGTTGCAGAGAGGGGAGACAGAAATGGCTGATTTTCGGTTTTAGGAACTTGTAAACGTCGACAGTTCATGGTTTCTTATTTTATTTTCCTTCCTCCTGGAGTCACTGGAAGCTATACTTTACTACCTTCTACTGCGACGTATAATATCTACTCTATAATTCACTATTTACAAACCCCGAAAAATGAACTACTAGTTGAACACCTTCCAGGGTTCGTTTTTCCTTATTTCCCTAGGCGTTAGCATTTAGAATGAGTTTAACACTCGCCCTAAGACTTTTATTTTTGCCTTTGCCGATGACATCAATTCTCACAACAGATAAAGACCCCGTTGCAGCTTCCACGAAATTTTCAAAATCACTTACATCTACTTGGAAAAAACAACACCTTTATATTTCAACTTGCTTTTACCCGCGACTTCCTCCACGCGTGACTCTGTTTTTTGTACCTTTCTAATAGGATGCATACTGCTAGTTTGGGTTTCTAATATATGAGATTTTTTTTCCCCATCCACCTGAGGAAGACCCCATATCGGCGAGTGGCACTCTCAACACGGCACACAAGAATGGCACAATTATGCAGAAGACAAACACTTTGAGCCCTGAAGATGATCTCAATAAAGATCGAAACGTTGGCACGATGAAGAAAATGTTTTTCTAAAATCTACGTTACACCAAACCGCATCTCACGATATCTACATAATTATTAATTAACGGTCACAAAACATCACACATTAGAATTACTATTGAATTATATGGTTTAAAGTAAAAATCAAAGTTACAGGTTAAAAGTTGAACTTTGAAGCAAGCAATCTTTTAGTTCCACGATTTGATTAAATATCGGAAGAAGTTGAAGTTAAATATTGGAAGAAGAATTACCCTACATCTTCAATAGCGAGCGCGGCGGTTCAAAGATAAACATTTCTCATTTATTTTCCTTAAGTCTCCTCCTCTTTTATATATTTTTCGTTATTTCTAAATTGACACCTTGTAATATATTTAGATCATCAAAGGTGTTGATTGTATCAGTATAAGTTAAACAAAAGTTCTCTAATTCTTGAAGACAAGGTATATTTTTATTGTAAATCTCTCTTCCTAAGAAATTATACTAAAGATAATCAACGATTGAGTTAATAAAATTGCCAAATTTAAAATATAGCTTGCTGTGGTTAACCGAGTTGTTAGTTTATAAACGATTTTTCTGTATTTTGGTTTTCATACTACCTTCAAAAATAATAAACAAAAATTGAAAATTGATTGTTTCGATGGGTAAACTTTTTTATTTTCCCTTCACGTATTCCCTTTTTTAATTAAAATAGAGAATATTATGATTTTTTAATCATTGTTACGGAAAATTCGTAAGGTTTTCAAGAGCGATCGCGTTTTATTACGAATTTTCTTTTCTACAGGATCTGAAGATATTGTATAAGGAAGATGAAAACTCATTTCTTCTTCTTTACAATATTTTCCAATCCCTTTGAAAATCGCCGCAATGATTTAATCGACAAACATTCCTTTATTGGAGCCCATGATTTTGTTTGTCACATCGTAGGTCAAGACAAGTTTCGACGAATTTGATTTGGAGGCTGTAAATAAATAAACGGGAATTTTTAAAACCTTCGCCGTCCTCATCATGGCTAGCGTGTAGGTCTGTCTATAGTGGAACTATCAAACTATCAAACTAGAGTCTATCAAAGTGGAACTTTCTGTACAGGTCTACAGACCATCTTCGACACTATGGTTCCAGGAGTCCTACAACCCCCGGGGTAGTACGTTACCATCAATTCAAGGTAAACAAAAGTAATAAAAAGGGTAGCCAAGCAGCTACTATACAGCAGCACAAAATAAAAATATTATTAGCTCGAGAGTACTAAATTGCAAGACAAAACAAAATAGGTTAAATACTTTTTAAAAGGATAGTTCCTACTCACAGTAAGTTGTTTTGCAACGATCCGGATTTCGAGCCTTTTAGCTCATCATCAGGTTGAAGGACTTCTACAACCACGTCTCTCGACATGAATTGCCAAAGTTTTTGAGTATGATGATGAGCAAATGAGCGGATGATGAGCGAAAAGGCTCGAAATCCGGATAGTTGCAAAACAACTTACTGTGAGTAGGAACTATCCTTTTAAAAAGTATTGAACACCACACTCACTCCATAATTTATCCTTTCTACAAAATAGGTTAGTTATGCAAAACAGTCTCTCCCGAGTTCGTTCCAGAAAATGAAGATTAAAAGACGAACAAGAAGCAGAAAAAAGATCTAGCTGATGAGACCGCAACTCTTGGGTCACTAATCACCGAACATTTATTCGGGTACTTGGTTTACTACCCGCTAGGATGCTCTGTGTAAACTGTTTGAACACTTGATACGTTCGTTCGCTTTTCACAAGTTCCATCAATTCTGGAGGTCGTATATTGTGGAAAGTGTTTGGGCAGAAGAATATCATATGTCGTACGTCTTCAGAAACATGGCATAACTGGCAGTTTGGGGTATTAGCTCTTTTGAATTTGTGCACATAAACTGCAAAGTTTCCATGCCCCTTAAGCATTTGTGTGGATCAAAAATCTGGTTGCACCCATAATTTTTCGTTTATCAAATTCTTCTCTTCTTCAGTTCACTCGGTCTATGCATGGTAACAAATTGTCCATATGATCCCCTTAGGGACGGAATTTCAAAAAATCCTTTCTTAGCAGCTATCCGTGTCATTATAGGAACGCTCTGTCGAAATTTCATTTCTTTACATCCACCGGTTCGGTCTGTGCGTCGTCTGTCAGTCAGTCACGGAACTGTTTATATATAGCGGACCGCGGTAGCCGAGTGGTTAGCGTGAAATAGGGATGAGGCATGAGCATCTATGGTCGATGGTCGATGTTTAGAAAACATCGATGTTATTGCGCCGATGTTTAGAAAACATCGATGTTATTGCGTCGTGTTTTTTGACCATCGATGGTGGGCTTTCGATGTGTTATAAACTTTTTCAGTTTTTCCTAATTTCCGCTTTTGTGAATAGGGAATGACAATATCCTTCTGGTATGAAAGTGACCCATCACAACCTGGCAGGAGTTGTTCAATTTGTTGCCTTAGTGGCACATCTTTTCCCTCTGAACGATTATTTTCCAAAGCTGGACAGATTATTTGGAAAACCAGAAATCGCTTAGAGGATAAATTGGCTTTAAAGCTACGTTTTTGTTTTTTTTTTTACATTGCGTTCCGGAGAAGATATGGTAGTGTTTGATTGTAAAATTTGGATACATTAATTCTAATAATTTAAGGATATGGTTGATTTTCGTTACGTACTTGTTAAACCGTTACCTGTTTTTGAGCAAGAGAGTGGAATTGGTCTTGGATTATGGATGTTTTCCAAAGTATCGAAGAAAAACAGCAAGGCTATTTGGATAAAATTCACAGGCACAAAATACTTCAACAATAAACCTCTTTTATATAAAACGGACCGAGAGATCTACATACAACTATAAATGAAACCAAAGGCAAAAATAATTCCTAATAAATGTTATTAACAAAATGAACATAATTTATTAATCAAGCTCCTAATAAAGGTTCAGAAATGGCGAAGTTTGAAAAATTAGCCTTTGTTTCGAAAATGGCACATAAAAATAATGTATGCATATGAAAATAATTTGCGGTTTGAGTAATGAGTACTCAAAAAACCATGGTACGACCAACGATGGTGCGGTTCCAATCTTTAATCAATGGTGACCATCGAAGTTTTATCGATGCTCATCCCTAGCGTGAAACACTCTGCTCGTAGACCCCGCGGTCCTGGGTTCGATTCCCACCGTCGCCTCTGGACTTTTTTTCACGATACCTTACCCACCAATACACAAATAATCGTCTCCTTGGCTAATATGCATCGGTCATAAGGCCAATAGTGGCCGGGCTGTGTTATGTATAGGATACAGTCCGCTTTTCGGCAATAAAGTATAAATCCTTTATAACGAACTTAAGGGGACCATAAAATTGATTACTTTATAAGTGGAATTCACTATAAACAATATCTCGCTTATAGTGTACAGTTCGTTACATCTGAACATTTCATCCAATTGATAAACATGTAGGTTTGTAGCAGTTCATCGTCGTTTTCATTATATAAATAATTATATAATATATTCAGGTTTATGAGAAAATAGAAAATACATTCTAACCTACTAAAGTAATTTATTTACTTAAATGTTTTTAAACATTAATACATATGTCTATGTACGTAAAATGTGTATGTTGTTATTTGACTACAGTATAATTGTAGTATGTAATCTCTTATCTTTTTTTTTAGCCCGTATTATTTTTAAACTTTATGGCACTTATTCATGGCATTACTATGTCCCTACTTTATGATTTATGGCACTTTGGTTATAATTCCCGATATTTTAGAACGAGATATCCCCATTTCACTTGTCAATTAAACATTAATACATATGTCTATGTACGTAAAATGTGTATGTTGTTATTTGACTACAGTATAATTGTAGTATGTAATCTCTTCTTTTTTTTTAGCCCGTATTATTTTTAAACTTTATGGCACTTATTCATGGCATTACTATGTCCCTACTTTATGATTTATGGCACTTTGGTTATAATTCCCGATATTTTAGAACGAGATATCCCCATTTCACTTGTCAATTACCGCGAATTTTTCCTCAAGAGAAGAAACTTTAGGTTCTTTTAAATAGATTTTTTAAAGACATTTATAGTTATGAAGGGGGAAGGATCTTTCCTAGAAGCAATAGGCAGCTAGGGTTACTTTTACGTGCTGTTCGTTATAACCGATAGTTCGATATAAATGGTTCCTTATGACATTTCAAGAGACCGAAGATTTTGTACGTTATAGCCGGACACCGTTAAAACGGTGTTGTTATAAACATTTTCTACTGGGTATTGTTTTTCTCTGGCCGTGCGCCTTTTTGTTCTCGATATCTAACAGTTAGTCCTCTCAAAGAAGTATTTCTCCTTTTATTTTCATCACG